AACTTCCAATATCTATCGGGCGCACTTCCGGTTTCTTTAAATGCTAAAGGAAACGCGGTTTTTCATTAAATCCAGCCTTTTTCGACGAATTTCGATTAAGGCCAATGTTGGAAACATAGCTATGCATTCCTTTTTCGAAATCATGCTTTTTTTCAGAGAATTACGAACTTTTCAATATTTTGAAATGCTTTCAAAATCTGACCATCTAGAAATGAAACAAAATCGGTGCAGAGCGTAGTGTGAAAAAATTCCCGATAAAGTAATTTGCCTGGGAGCCTTTGCATTTTTTTCTGTATTAGTCACATGACTATGGTCGTGGCCTGATGACGTCATCATTAGTTTTACTGATCATGAAAAAGTTAAAACACATGAAATAACTCTGAACTAACTAAAAATGATGAGGTTGTATGAGAATAAATTTTCCTTAGCAACGGCTCGAAAAGATCGGTTAATGGGCCCTTAATGGATTTCTTCGCGATGTTTCCTACAGATTTCAAAACTTATGAAAAGCGAAACAGACGTTTTCGCTCAAAAGAAGTTCTCAAAAGAGAATTTTAATTCCGAAATTTGTTATAGATACGATTAATTAGTAATTGGATCTCGTATCGTACAATTCAGGGAGTAATCGTGCTCGCTTCGCCCTCGTCCGATTTTGAAATTACTCGCGCGATTACTCCCTGAAATGTACTCCACTCGGACCAATTACTATTACTAATTACCTGCTAAATATGTCTTGCTTGCGAGGAGACCCAAGGGTTAATTATGTTTAGCTGATTTGAGCATTCGAATGTAGACTACGAGTAGTCCCTCTTTCGCTTTGTCCGACGTACGTGACGCGAAAGAACACCGCGTGCGTGACGCGAAAGAAAACCGCGAGAAAAAAATGGCCGCGCGAAATCCTGGGGGCTACTCGTAGTCTAATTCGAATGTAAGTCACGGTAGCGAAAGACTTGCGTTATGCCATAGTGTCACGAAACGTTGAGTATGAACGCTAAACACGATCATTACAAAAGATATGCTAAAATAAAATAATCTCTTTTTGCTAAACAATGAGAATATCTATTCCATTGGTGCTCTGAAATCGTAATCATGAATGTTCGCATGTTTACATTTCAGTTCACCGGCTTCAGCCGTCAAGAAACAGTTTTCTTTTCCTCAGAATTATTTCATACTAACGGAGCCCTCCCACTTACCACTTCCCACCCTACCCTTCTAAAGTGTGCCGTAACAACAGCGCAGCAGAATTGACACAGCAGTCAACATCAAGCGCATCAAAAGTTTCTTCATGTAGGTTCACAATCCTTGCAATTGGATGATGTGTCATTTTACGATGCCGTATTTTTATATTTAAACCAACGTCAGAAAAGTTTTTTCTGCTTGATCCAGGGCTTGATCATCGCTGTAAGCCGGAGGCACTCACCTGCCTAAACACGTAAAGCTGACAGGAGACAACGTCATCAGTGATTATAAACTTTGATGTTCAGTACAGGTTTAAAACGTTTAACGGTTTACATATTTTTATATCAGTTTAGGAATATTATCTTATTTTCATTGAAACAGGTGAGAATCGCCTCGAAGCGATTAATTACTGTTTAAAATCGCCTTTTCCTGAGAGTGCTTACGTCGACCGTCTCACGTATTCCGTATTCTAGTAATTTCCGGTCGAATCTTATCAATATTCATTGGATAACATCTCCCGCCAAACGAACCTCACCCATAGCAACTGAACAAAACATCTCTAAATATAGTATCGACGAACGTCAGGCTTTTGTTTTCCACGTTCTGATTGGTTAGTTGCTTTCGACACGTTGATTCTTATACACAACGAGGTATGACGTAATGGTAGCTGATTGGCTGAACTGGTCCGAACGATCTCGATTTCACAATCGTGTCGCTTTTCAACGTCTATTCATTCACGGAACTTCACTCGACTGTGTCGTATTGGAGTTTCGTCGTTAAAAAAATTCAAATTTACCGGCAAGTCTACTCATCTAAGCGATTCAAAACAAAGATACCGAGAATATTATTCTCTGAAGACGTCTCTGTGAACATGGATTGCGAAGCAACAAGAATTATCCAAGTTTCGCTGTCGAAAATAACGGACTCGCGTCGTCGGCGTGGCGGTCCTGTGCTACGACGTAATTTACTAGTTTCCCACGTCTTAAACAATGTGTTAACCTCAACAGACTCTGCTTATTGTACATACAGATCGAAAGTGGAGATCGATATGGACATAGACACTGTGGACAACGAAATTGTGCCTTTTGACAAATCGAAAATGACGCCCGATATTCCGGGTGGATCCGTGGAGGCAGGAAATGCGACACATACAGTTCGTTCCGCGGCAAAATCAAATGAAAGAGTCACGGAAATGGAACAAAGCGTGCCCAGAATTGTCAGGAAGGGCAATGTGGAGGTTGTGGACATCGAAAAAGCCGTAAAAGGTGATAATGTGCGTGGGATAGAGAGGAAAACTGAAGTAAAATGTGTAACCGGTTCGAAACGGGCGCGATCACAGTATGGTAATGAACCTTGTGACAGCCACGCGGTTGAGAACAAACGCTTGAAAACTGAAAGCGAGAACGAACCGCCAGTCAAAGAACTGAATTATCAAGAACCTATGGACATCTCAGGACTTGTTAACGTGTTTAGCAGCAGCTTTTCTGGACTTTCTAGTATTCCTAGAGCGACCTCTACAATTGGATCGAATCTGGACTCCTTTCAATGTCTCCCTCAAGTGCAGCCAGTCGGCCGCGTGTTCAGCTGGTCACAGACTGTTGTAGAGGCTTTTTAGCTGTGTTTTCGTACAGTGTTTGTCGTTATTTTTGGCCATTTTTGCCTTTGTTATTGCTGCGTGCTCTTTATACGCCTGCGTTTAAAGTTCTCCTCTCGCGCGAATATTTATATTGTGACGAAGCTTTGGCTTACGTAATAATTGGAATGATCGTCCGATCTTTGAATGTTTAACCTTCATCTTCGTATTTTCTTATAAAGGGGACTACAGTCATCACACAGTGAATACATTTATCTCTTCATCTCTTACCTTAATTCATATTTTTCGAAAGCTGTTGCTGTAGTAGCTGTTGTCTAAGCATTTCATGGCGCAAGTGTTCTCATGTTTGCATCTTGCTTCGTATAACTTAAAAAAATGTATATTTTCATAAAAGGCATTAAATTTTTTATCTTAATCAAGTTAAAATGAATTGCGTATGATATTTTTATTCTTTCTAATGGGCAAGAATCCTCAAACATGTGTTGTTAGAATATGTTGTGGCAAGTCCGTGACACGGATCATTGTCAATTCACGCATTTGTAATATATTTCGACGCGAAATTCTTGTAAAACAAAGAAATACTATGAAAGAAATAAATAATTTGAAAGGAACGTTAGTTGTGGGTTATTTGATTGAAAAAATGTAGCGTTTTCATCGTCTGCATGCAGCTGGACAGGAATATGCCACATCATTGTGTTCCGTGTGGGGTACAAAGTATAAACAATGATTCTAAAATTAACCCTTCTCTAATGGCCGGCCTTTGTTATGAACGCAAGGTCAAGTTCGGTATTGTCAGGTTTCTGTTTACATTACGTCATGGCTGAAATCGTAACCGCGTGTAATGCATTTCACCTTTTGGACAGAATGCTTAAAATATGCTTGGACTTTTAAAGGTTTTCTTCAGAAAGCGTTGCCTGTTTCCAGAAATATTGTTTTCTTCTTGAGAAATTATGATATTAAAATCTCACAAGTAAATATAAATTGGTTTTGTGTTTATAAAAAGCCTAACTTCCTGATCATCAGTCAAGGAAGACCAAACCATTATTTCCATGATATACTTGCAGTTCTTTTCCCTGGCCCCTCCTTTTGCCCATGGCATCGTGAATTGATTACTCCTGAGAACTAATCCAGAATTTTATATACTGTTTGTGTGGTTTTCAAACACAATGACAGTTGTTGTCTTTCGTTTCTCACTTCCCAAAATACATGTTTTTAAAACAAGAAATTACAGGTTAATGAAATAGGCAAAAAGTGTCACCAGAAAAAGACTTTTTTGCCCTGACCATTTCTCTGTTTTTGTATGGCACAAATGTGAGTGAAATTATTTTTACAGGCTGTTAATGTTGTTTTTCACAAGAAATTGATGCAAGCAAGGCTTACTGACATCAAGTCATCAAACTCTAACTTTTACATGTCATAATTAATGAGATGAAATTAATGAAATAATTATGATAAAGTCACAAACCCGGAGAGTGACTCTTGGGAGTAAATCTGCTGTTTTTAGTTTTCCCGGTTCATTGGATATCTTGCACTCTCCAGCAATACAGATTTAATTTGGAGGTAAGTAATCAGGCTTTTTTGAAAATCCCACTTTTGCCTCCTGGGATCTTTGTGGGATTGCCAAAAGTAACAAATTTAGGGTGTTTGTCAAGAGAGTTATCTTATTTTATTTTTTCAATGACGATAGGAGAGTCTTAACATAGATGGAATGTTTGTTATGTGGTCATATCACCACTGTAGAAGTCAGTGGCGTCACCTCCATTTCAGGTCACATAATTTATATCAGTCATGTATGAATAGAACCATTCCAAAGTTTAGATTGCAAGGTGCAGAATAACTAAACCTAACCCCATGAGCATGATAGCTTGGACACCAAAAGCAGCCCCACATTCCTCTACAAGTTGCTCTACAACTTAAAAACCTTTTTGCCAAAAAAAGCTAAATATATTTCATTTGTACAATGTTGTCAAAACATTGCTTCTTCAATACATTGATTGACAGAATTATCCATAAACTCTCTTTGTTTCCCACGTTCTCTCATATTTTTTTGTTGGCATCAGAAGGTAAGAGGGGTGTGGAAGGGGTGTGGCACCCACTTGCCCACCCAGCCCACATGTCCTAATCCTGACGCTCTTTCAAACCGCATTTTCTGAACAAAACGAGATTTGGTTCATTCCATTTCCTGTTCATTTTCGCTCACATGTGCCGTTTAAAGTGCCTATGAAGTAAAAAATAATTGCTGCT